CAACAGATAAAAAGATAGCAAAAATGTATCATGTACATACCACAGAATTTTTAAATTTAATCTTATTTATTATAATTTATTCACTTTGTATTCCCACTGCACTCCCCTCCCTTGTCTCTTCCTAGTCCCACCCACTTTCCCTCTATGCCCTTTCCCTAGTCCCTTGATAGGGGAAGGACCTCCTACCCTTCTATCTGACCTGACCTTATCAGGTCTCATCAAGGCTGGCTGCATCATCTTCCTCTGTGGCCTGGCAAGGCTGCACTCCCAGGGGGAGGTGATCAAAGAGCAGCCACTGAGTTCATGTCATAGATAGCCCCTGTACCCCTTATTAAGGAACCCACTTGGAAACTTAGCAGGCAATGGGCTTCCTTTGAACAGGGGGTCTAGGTCCTCTCCATACGTGGTCCTTAGTTGGAATATTGGTCTCTCTTGGCCCCTCCCCCCTGCAGGCCCAGGTATTTTGCCACAGAATTTTATTTAGCTATAGAGAAATAGATTATATCATCTGCAAGAAAAAAAAAAAAACAGTTGTAGATCATCACATCATAATAAGTGAAATAAGCCAGATAATGAAAGACAGATGTTTTCTGTCATTTGTTGATCCCAGATTTATTTATAGATGCATAAATTCACACACACACACACACACACACACACACACGTACTCTTTCTCTCACACTCACACTCACACATGCAAACTTGCTTGTCTGTGCGTATATGAGTGTGTGTAGCATACAGCAGGATGACTGACTGGTATAAGGAAGAAGACAAATAAGCAGAAAAAAGGGAGAGCTTAGGTGAATATAGTCAAAGAATATGAAGTCCTTGGATGGAAATGTTATAAGGAAACTCATTAGTGTGTACAATGAATAGTCATCAATAACAATAAAAAACAATGTGTAGTGAGAGCTATTTCCTTTAAAAAGTTTCATATCAATTTCTCAACTTCCAATATGCAGATTAGAACTAGCTGGTTTAGATCACAGCATAGCTTCAGCCATGCAAAGGGCCTGAAAAACAAAATGAAAAGTAAGCACACAAGAAAACATAGACACTAGTTTTCAAGGTTCTTATTTTCTGTCTTCATCTTTGCTTTTATCATCCCTTGCTAATCTACTTTGATAGCTTTGGGAACTCAACTTCTTTCTCTAATTATTGCATTTTAATGACACCATCATTTTTGTGAGTGTGGGATGCAGTGAGCTTTATTGATGGAATTCAAGGGAGTAGGGCATCCTGGGCCTCTCTCCCCATTATTCTGGGAGTCTGGAATGCAAACTATGAGGGAGCTGCTCTGTGTCAGGGGCAGAGTTGGGACAGGGGCTCCTCAGGAGCAGAGGGCCTCTCTCTTGCTCTAATGCCCTTGCTTTAGTGGGAGGTCCAGGGCGTCTTACTCTTTGAAGGCCATGGAGGAATAAGGTCCACTGCTATGTTGCTGTCGTTGTACTCATTGTTTTACCAGGAAATGAGCTTGGCAAAGTCGTCATTGAGGGCAGCAGCATTAAAGGTGGAAGAGTCACTGTTAAAGTCGCAGGAGACACCCTGGTCCTCAGTGTAGCCTGGGATGCCCTTGGATGCCTGCTTACCACCTCCTTGATGTCATCATAATTGGCAGGTTTCTTTAGCCAGCATGTCAGATCAACATCGGACATGTTGTTGGTAGGAACACGGAAATCCATGACTCTGTGGATAAGAGTATTGTATGCTCTTCCAGAGGCCCTAAGTTCAAGTCCCAGCAACCACATGGTGGCTCACAACCATCTATACTGGAATCTGACGCCCTCTTCTGTTATGGAGATGTACACACAGATAGAGCACTCATACATAAAATTAGTGACACCATTTCATTTAGTTCATGTTATGACAATTTAAGCTCCTATTAGTTTATATTTCATCAATTCTCACTGCCATCAAAACTCTTCAAATATTTGTAGTGTGTCATGATTGAACAAATCTCACAAGTATTCTGCCTGCTTGATCCTTGGTTCTTGATTTTGAAACTTAAGATAATTATCTTATTTTCTTCACTGTATAGTAGTCCTACATTACTGATCAAAATAAAAAATGATATATAGTTAAATAAAAACATTAATATTTGGAGCTTTTGATTTTTAAGACTCACTTTAATATCTCACAATTATTCAAATATTCATCTAATTTTGTAAGAAAAAGAAGCAAATATTTCTACTGGATCCAAAATTTAGAACAAATTCTTGCAACTCAAAATAATAAGAAAAATGACCTGATATTTTAAAATAAGAAAAATAATTAAATAAATATCTCAGAAGGAAATAGTCAACTGATATGTAGAAAAACTACATAAAGAGCCATGGGTGATATGGAGAGATCACTTAGGTAATAGTGATTGCTGCACAAGCCTGATGAGCTGAGTGTGACCACAGAACCAACATGAAGGTGGAAAGAGAAAAGTGGTTTCATGAACTTGTCCTCTGGCATTTATGTGTGCACTGTTGTACATAAATGCCCCCTCCACAACAATCAAATTTAAAAACCTAGGAGAATCTGAATTATAACTGCATTGATTTTTATCATGAAGGTCGATATTGTCTGGCTGGAATTCAGAAAACTCTGGATTACAGTATGACCCCCAGACTGGATTACAGCCTAGAATATAGACATGCTTTTAGTATACACCAAACAATGAAGGTAAGACTAATTTGTAGAAGGAAGCAGCAACGTTTGCAAGTGATGACTAATTGAGGGGCAGACAAAGTGACAAATCAGGGAAAGATTTGACAGAATGGGTCAAAGATAGGATATGCCCAAATCATACAAGAACAGGTCAGGAAAGAGATGCTACTTAAGAGTAGTGCAGAGAGATTGTTTAAAATTATTTATTTATTTACTTATCTATCTATCTATTTATTTATTTTCTTGCCAAGAGTTTCTTACTCGGACAGTTTTACAGAGACAGGTTGCAGAGAGAACAATCTAGACAAGGTGAAGTCAGAACAAGCCAGGGAATGGGAAGGAGTCAGAAGAGTAAAACATACATCCAGAATTAGGTTGAAACCAGGAAGAACAATTCAGTCAGAAATTAAGAGAAGCCAGTTTGATCAGTCAGCTTGGAGAGGAGTTTAAGCCAGAACAGCTAAGTTGAACCAGTCTGTGGGAGTTCAGAAAGAGGTAAAAAACATTGGGAACAGGTTTAATTTTATCCCCTCATCTGAGGAAATAAAAACAACTTTTACATGAAACATATATCAAAGACATCTTTTAATATTCATAAAATATTAATTTTCATTAGCTGAGCGTTGGCAAAAACTTAAATATGCATGAAGTGAATGGAAAGGCGAATTGTGTACCCATACGTTGGAGAATAATTCAGCAGCAGAACCAGGGTATTTTAGTGATACAATGGACATCTTTATTTTAAGTGATGAAGGCAGATATGGAAGAATATACTGTAATTCCATCTGTAAAAATTTACATAAAATGTAAATTGATCTGACTTTGATCATGGGTGGGCAGGAACAGGGTAAAAGGGAATGTCTTAGTTACTGTTATATTTCTGTGAAGAGGCACCATAACCAAGGTTGAATATAAAAGGAAATGTTTTATTGGGATCTTGATTACAGTTTCATGAGGCTGATCATGGCCATCATATGGGATAATACATGTTGCCAGATAGGCAGGCAGGTAGGAGTAGCCAAGAGCCCACATACATCTGATTCATAAGCCACAGGCAGAGATTGAAAAAAAAAAGTGAGAGAAAATGTGAGGCATACTGGGCTTTAGAAACCTCAGTGCTCTTTGGCACATCTCCTCCAATAAGATTATACCTCCTAATTTTTAGTAAACAGCCAACCTACTGGGAAACAAATATTCAAATATAAGAGTCCATGGTGGCCATTTTTATTCAAGCCACCCAGGGGAGCATAGTAGGATGGTATGTTTTGGTATTGTTGAGTTTCTTGGAGTTGTCTATAACTAAGTTAGTCCCCAGTAAGTTTCACAAGAGAAAATAAAATCACTGGATGTTGGCTCAGTGAGTGACTAGGTAGACTAACTATCCCAGAGTAAAGAATAATCAGTAAGACTCGTGTCAACTAATGCCAGCTAGTGAGAGCTATGTACACCCTTTCCTTAACTATACAGATCGGGCACAGCAAGTGCTATCTTTGGTTGGTTGAAGTCAGAAAGCTGCTACCAGCCTTACTGGTGATTCTGTGCCTGTTGCTTTTTGCTTTTGTTTTGTTTTGTCAATGTGATACAAACAAGGGATACTGAGAAGAGGGAATATCAATTAAGAAAGTGTCTCTTCCGTCAAACTTACCTACAGGCAAAACTGTAAGGGCGTTTTCTTAATTAATGGTTGAGGTGGGAGAGCTAAGCCCACTGTGGGTGGCACCTCTCCTGTACAGGTAGGCTGCTTTGTGTGAAAATGCAGGCTGAGCAAGCCATGTGGAGCAAGCCAGTAAGCAGTAGTCTTCCATGGTCTTTGCTTCAGTTCCCGCCTCCTGGTTTCTTCCGCTTAGTGATAGATTATAATTTTTCAATTTAATTTATTCACTTTGCATCTCTATTGTAGCCACCTCCCTCATATCCTCCACGACCCACTCTCTCTCTCTATCCTCTCCCCTAGTCCACAGAAAGGGGGGAGTCCTCCTCCCCCACCATCTGACCTCAGCCTATCAAGTCTCATCAAGACTGCCTAGATCCTCTTCCACTGTGACCTGGCAAGGCCTTCCCATCTGGGGGACATGATCAAAGAGCAGGCAACAGAATCCATGTCAGAGACTGCTCCTGCTCCCCTTACTAGGGTACCCACATGGAGACTGAGCTCCCTATGGGCTACATCTGAACAGGAAGTTAATGTCCTCTCCATTCATGGTCCTCGATTGGTGCATCATTCTCTGCAGGGTCCCCTGGGTCCCCTGCTTCTGCTGGTCTCCTTGTGTCACTCCTGTCCTTTCCTGGTCCTTCTATTCCCCCACTCTTCCATAAGACTCCCTGCGCTCTGCCGAAAGTTTGTCAAAAATAACAAACTCTTCATGAATTTGCACGTTATCCTTGTGCAGGGCCTATGCTAATCTTCTCTGTATCGTTCCAGGTATAGTATATGTGCTGCCGAAGCATGCACTCCATGATTGATAATGATTGAGGCTTGTAAGCCAAAGAAACCCTTTCCTCCAAGGTACTGGGTTATGATGTTATATCACAGCAATAAAAGCCTAACTAGGAATGCTTTCCAAGCTTGAAATAGAAGGATATAGCAAAGAATAGTGCAATTGTAGAGAGCACTGTTTGTGTCAGTAAAATTAAGGATAGTCCATTTAAACAGAAACTTCCATTGGTTTCAGCCAATAGTAAACTCAGTAGGAATGAAGCTACGTAACAAAGGTCAGGAATTGGAGGTGTCATGGCATAGTGATGGCATGGTCATGGCATGGCGGGTGATCCTATACATACATGTGGTCAGATATTGTGTGTGTGTCCATATCAAACTTAACATAATATACTCTCAGGCAGAATAACCAAACAGTCATGAAGATGGAAGAGTTAGAGATTTTGGATGTGGCATGGAAGGTAAGGGTAACAACTCTGTACAGAATTGGAAGTTAGACAAAGTTCTTTTTTTTTTTTTTTTTGCTATTGATGATTAAATGAAAAAAAAAAGGGAAATAATGCAGAAGTTGCCTGATAGCTCAATTTCTATGTAATTAAATATGGGGCTAAGTAACATAAAGTAGAGGATAAGCCTAGTCTAAGAGCATTTAAATTCACAGTATGGGATCCAAGTAGATGACATTAACATATGATACTGTTTTTGTTTTATAAGATGACAGTGTCGACTGAATCTCTATGAAGAATTATATCTGTATAGCCAGACTCTCCAGTTATTTCTCCTATTGGCAACTGCATAGAGGTGGTGTTTTTTTTTTTTTTTTTTGACTGATTTAATTTTGTTCTTGTGTGGTGTTGGACATGTAACACCAAGTTTCCCAAAGCATAGGTAAGGATTGAACCAGTAAGCCACATTCCCCTTCCAGTACAAAACAGAGGATGAGTCTATGAACCTCACAAAGGACTCAAATCACAGTGGCTCCCTTAGCACTGATGAAAAGAAGCCACAGTGCTCTTATTTATGTGACTGGGATGAGAGGATGCTATGTTTGCCTAAGGAGTTGACTTTGCTATAGAGAAAGGACAATTGTGCCATTATTAAAATAGTCCTTCTTAGAAGATGAATATTGAACTATTATTTGCTTATCAATGGCTAAATTAAAATAATTCTCATTATGGATTGACACATTATTCCAGCCTCAGAACTATTGGCTCAAATATTTAATGCACTATATTAAAGTGTGGCTTTAAAGGAATGATAAAGTTGCTTACCTATTAAGCTCAGGCTGTGGTATTATCAACAATATCATTAAAAGTAGAAGCAATATTTTATTACAATTAAGGATAGATGACAATATTATAATAAGAAAGCAAAACTTCTTCCAATTTTCTACTTCTATTCGGTAAAGTATAAGCATTTCAGTCTTTTTTTTCCCCATCATCATTGCAGATAATTGGATTTTATACTTTTGAGAATCAATCAGAGTTTTCAGTCATTTAAAAAAATGACAGACCTAATTATGTTGGTCATTGATTAACTTGAATTAGGTCCTTACAAGGTCCTTTTATTCATTGTCTCATGACTGTTTGCCTTCCAGGTATGTGGCAATAATACAGAAAAAGCTCAAAAATACACCCTGTGTAGCAAATTTTCTC